GTCATGCCAAAGATATACCCCCGAAAGAAATGTCTTATTTGAAATGGCAAAAACCAAAATTGCCACCAAAGACACAATTCATAGCTTTGCTAAACAACAGTGGTCTAACACTACCCGTAGCAAGGTACCTAAAGAAGTGTTTTGAAATAAGACAGCAACCCTAGCGACAATCTTTCACAGGATTGCATTCTGTTTTCTATCTTTTGTAGTATTATAATTTAAACTTAATATTTTTTTCTCTCTGTAATGTATTAGCTTAGTTTGTTTTATTTTATCTATTTTGTTTGTAACCTTTTATTCCTTCTTAAACTTTTGTAACCGTTGTCAATTCCTCCGGGGAATGTGTAAGTGTTAATAAAATTATTATTTGATCGGATGCTGCAGTAATGAATGAAATGAATGCAAACCGTCGTCAGCGACGCATATTTATGTGCTGCTGCAACCGGTATTTTTTTGCAATGCTAAATTAATGTGAAAAAGAATTGTTTTTTTTAATCTTCTTTGCCGTTCATGTGCATGATGAGTAGTAATAAGTACTACAACAACAAATGGATATAATTTCAATATAGCAATTACTATTCGACTCTTTGCAGATGATACTAACCTATTTAAATCAATCTCTCGGAAATTGATAATGACTTTCAAAGGGTTCGTGAATGGTGCAGTGCTAACAAACTTACTATTAATCCCGCCAAAACAAATTGCATGATAATTAAAACACCAAAACGATCGATCACTACTGAGGACAGCCTAGATATTAACGGGTCACCGATAGAGGGCGTATGTGTCGACCATTACCTTGGCGTCTCTACTGACCAGAATATATCACGGAAAGCCCACATTGATGAAATTTGCACATTTGCAAATATCCTTATTCTCTTATACAGCTCCTTAAATCTTCCACACATTTCATATTGCCTAGAAATCTAGGGTTACGTAATACATATGCAACTTTACTTCAACCAATATATCTCTTACAGAGTACGCCTCATCACTTTCTCATGCTGTTTCTCGTTTCCAAAAACTAAGAATTTGTTCACTCTGCAAGTTACAAGCCTGTTTATTTGTCTTTGATCTCAGTAAGGAACTATTTTGTACATGATATTTACAACTATTTGAACCCATTGTCCCATAATTATCAAACCCGCTTAGCCTGTAGCTTGAATTATTTATTAGACCCCGAAACTGAATCTTACACTCAACCACCACAGTCTTAAATACTCTGCAACAAAACATTGGAACTCATTGCTTGGTGCATTTAAAACCATCACTAAGGCCACAAATATTTAATTATAATATGTTTCTATATATATATATATTTATATAATCTATATTGATATGGTAGCCCGTATAACAGCTCCAGCAAACGATGCATTTTATGTTTGTAGGAAAGGCCAGACTTTTTTATTCCTTTAGCGAGTTTTTATAAGACAATTGTCTTGAGGAGGGCGGAAAAAATAAAATTATTTCTTTTTTTCCATTAGATTTGTGTGATTCTCAAAGAATTGTAAGTGAGAACATTGATCGGAGAGAAAAAATGAAATAAAATGTTATTCCATGTATAACCTTGTTTCTCATCTGCGCGAGACTTCGGTACTTTGATCATGATACTCCCACGAAAATGCAACTTCGATTTGTTATGCGGCGGGCGGTAAAAAAAATGAAGATAAAAATAATATTTTTTAGCATTTTTTGCGCTTACAAATCGGCGGGCGCGAGAAATTACGCTGAAATGAAATTATATTTTTATTTCATTTTTGGCTCCTGTTCATTCGGCGGGTCCGCGAAACAAGGGGTAATAAAAGTCTGGCCAAAAATTTGTCATAATTTGTAGACCCCACCACTCACACTAAACAAAAGAAATGAACTCGTGTCATAATGCCGACACAGATCAAATTAACCTTTCTATTTAATTTTAAATAATATGTTATGCTTATAATGTATGCTCTTTGGTGCAGTGAATTATTATAACATAAAGCTCCTGATGAGTAAAGTGCTTGTACCTTACGAAACAGTGCTGTCGAGTTTCAATATTCATGTAGTTGTGTATTAATTCCTCTATTACCGTATTCACCCGCTCTACATATACTTTGTATTGAGCATTTTTGTTTTGGAATAATCGACTTTCGTATCTACACAATATATACTGTAAAAGGGTTATTTATTCACTGGGTTTTAATTTTGCTTATTTCGCTGACTGGAAAATGCGCTAAATTGAAACCCAGTAGATATGTAAAATTTAGCATAAGAAAATGATAAAACCGTGAATTTAAAACCCACAGAATATGCCTGAAATGGTAAATCAGCAAAATTTGAACCCAGTGAAAATTAGTCATTTTACAGTATACTACTTGTGCACGCTCGTGCCGAGATCCCGTAACGTGAACGTAGCAATATGTATAATAGTAACACGTGTCGTTGAAGGCGGTATAACAGTAAAGGCAGGTATGTCACACGCAACGTAATATTACCATAATTGGTATAGTACAGGTGTGATGGTTCAAATACCAAAATGGCAACAGTAACAGAAAGACTTCCCTGGCGGCGATGATAACATACGAACACGGAGCCAACAGATGAGGTTTCAACTGGTACTGGTATTATTATACTCTACAAACATCAAGTACAATAACGCGGTAAAACTCCACTACTCCAATAACTAGATACTTAAACTCCAATACAATTCAACGAGATCTCCGATCTGAACTCAGTGCTGAACAACTCCACTATATATACCCCCCACTGTCTATAAATAGACCATTACATCAGCATACATAATGAGTCTGTAACTTACTACAAATTTCTAGAATGTTCCATTACTTTCTATTGCCTCCTACAGTGTTCTATTACCTATTCAACCAGTTTCTATACAAAATCTAGAATATTCCACCCAGACACAGTACGGTTCTAGAACATTCTCAGTGACACGGTAAATAAGTCGTATGCGACAAGGTATAGCCGCGTGGATAGGGACCAGAGACTGAGACTGGCAATCAAGTCCGTGTCTGTCACCGAACCAAAGAATTGGGCGGGTAGACAAAGATATTGGTATTTTGCTAAATGTTATTAAGAGTAAAAAGAGAAATGGATGGTTTCATAATGTGCGTCTAAATATTCCAATAAACGTATTAACAAATGCGTAATGAAATTTCGTTCTGACAATAATAATACCAATAAACTAAATCTGACGAGATTGGACAAAAACTCCAAGAACTTTTAGTATTAGTTAAAAGAAAAAAAACATTGGGTTTCTTTAACAACATTTTCACCCATGGGTAGCACGAACATTTCAAGTCGTTATTCAATGTCGACAGAACGAGATACCGGACACGATGATTTCTACGAGTTGGTAAAACAGTTTGTGAACATTGTAGATATGAGTGATACAAACGAGTTTTCTGGGATTATTTATAAAATATTACACGTAATAATAGCTATTGTCGAGATTAAAAGCCAGTATTTAAGATTATGAAAAATAGCTAGATTGCATTCCTGTTGATTTTATTTTATTTTAATAATGTACCAGTGTCCATTATCATGAGGTATTTTTTAACTAAATACTCGACAGTTGATATTTTCCAGAATCGTGGTCAAATGGTTTTTATTTTTCCGGTTCATAACACGGTAATATATCAGAACAAAACACTTATAATAGTCACGGTATTATTCTGCTTGGTGCACAAAGTAAAATTTGTACACACACTTTATGTAAAGGCGGTACCTATTTGTGCTCACCGTGACTGTCCAACCAAAAAAGCTGAGTGTATTGCGCGATGGATTTAAAAAAAAAAAAACTTTTCGGCAGAGTAGACCGTTATTGTATAAATTAGTCAAATCAGGAATGCGAGACGAATTACTCAAGACACTTTAATCAATGTACAAAAATATATCGGCATATGGTCTTCGATGTGTCTCTTTATTTTCATATCTCCCTTTCCTTTACTTTTCAGCGTTTTATTCGTTATAATCTACACAGGAAAACACCTTATTACTCATCCTTATTCTGGGCTTTATGTAGTATTAGTATTAGTAAATCTGTTTAAACAACGTTCCGAGTGGCACACAAACTGAGGCTCAAGCAAGATTATTGCTGAGCATTTTAAACAAGTATTGTAACATGGAAAATTACGTGTACAATTTAACATATTGAATACTATTGTATGTTCGATACACAGTTTAGATTTGAGCAAATTATTTGAATACTGAAACATATAGATGGCAAAAACACACACAGAGACTAGCGCACGTGCAAAGTGTGTTCTCTCATACTAGTAGTTGAAAATGGATTTCACTTTTTGTTATGTTTCCCACTTTATGCAGGACTATTAAAGGAAACTAATACAATAAATTTCTATTTTCATTGTTGTTATTAATATTATTGTTACAGTATCTTATCTTTTAGAGAACAGCCTGTAAATTCAAAAATTTTGAACTGCCACTGAAGGGTACGTACAGATTTGTCTTGTGTAACAATTATTCACCTGCGAGAAGGAGATCGGGGGTATTATGCGATTTATTCCATTCCACGTGGTTAGCTCTCCACCAATCAGTTTGGTGTACAAGAGAGATAATACGATTGTTTAATTTATTTCCTATTTCGTGTACATCGGTGAGGGCGCAATTACTAATGGTTATTGGCGTGGCATTCAACGACCTACTTTGACCTCATTACAGAATGAAATCGTGACGTCACATGAGATATAGTCTACCAAAGATGGCGGATGCGAGAACATGTCTTATTCAGCTCATGGTATTTGTACTGGCAATATGCAGTGTTTATGCAGTCAACGAATCACTAAGTCGGTCAGAAGTATATGCTCTACGTGCCGAAGAAGGGATTGTCTCGAAGGAAGGCGGCATGCTAGTTTTGATTGCAGGAGAACATTATGTGCTTCGAATCATCGGCAGCGGTTTGAGTACTGGTACATTGTTGACATTTACGACACAGGATAACGCTACGAAAGGTGACAATTGTGATGACTTCGATCATACGGAGACATTTCAGTTGTCCGCTGATGATACAAGTGAAAAAACTGCATTGGTATATGAAGTAGTGTTACCTTTGCCGTTAAATAAAAATATATTCGCCATTTGTCTCAAAGACGCCGGCGATGGTAGTGTGTGGGTACACCAAGGCATGGAGCCTTGGAACTCTGTGAAGTCGACCAATCCACCGGAACCTTTCCTACCTATTTGGGCTCACCTGCTACTGCTCGTTCTCTTACTGTGTATGTCTGGTCTGTTCAGTGGTCTTAATTTAGGTCTCATGGCATTAGACCCAACGGAACTTAAAATTGTTGTTAATTGTGGCACTCCGAAAGAAAAACGATACGCCAAAGCCATATCACCCATACGAAAACATGGCAATTATTTACTATGTTCCCTTCTGCTAGGCAATGTCTTGGTGAACAGTTCTATTGCTATTTTATTAGATGACTTGTCATCTGGTATATGGGCTCTACTTGGTTCAACCATTGGTATTGTAATCTTTGGTGAAATTGTCCCCCAGTCCATTTGTTCACGTCATGGTCTGGCTGTAGGTGCCAGGACGGTGTTTCTAACAAAATTATTCATGATTTTAACTTTTCCACTATCCTTTCCAATAAGCAAACTTCTTGACTGTATTTTGGGTCAAGAAATAGGAACAGTGTATAACAAAGAACGCTTGTTAGAGTTATTGAGAGTGACAGCACAGTATGCTGATTTCGAAAAAGGCGAAGTGGATATAATATCTGGGGCACTGGAATTGAAATCTAAATGTGTGTCTGAAGTGATGACATCCATCGATGATTGCTACATGATAGACTACAGTGCGGTGCTGGATTTTAACACCATGTCTGACATAATGAGCAAAGGATTCACCCGAATACCCGTTTATATGGGAGAGCGTTCCAATATCGTAGCATTGTTGTTTGTCAAAGATTTGGCTTTTGTGGATCCTGATGACTGTACTCCTCTGAAAACTGTGTGTAAATTCTATAACCATCCTATTAATTTTGTCTTTGGAGATACTACCTTAGATGTCATGTTAGAAGAATTCAAAAAAGGTATCTATTTCATTTGATTAGATTATATTGTTTTTTTCTCTGATGATCCTGTAAATTGTAAAGACAATTTTAATAAATGTAACAGCTCTATCGGGTTTTTTAGGGCTACAGTTTGGAGTATTTTTTTAGGGCTTTGACAAAAAATTCTCTTCCATTAGTTTGACTGTTTCTGACCACTTAATATTTTTTTTATTCTTACATTTGGATGTTCAAAAAAACATCATTATTAATTAAAAAAAGATTGAATTTGTGTATGCTAATTAAACTCATTTATGACGATAAAGTTTCACGAAAGTTTCCTGTCAAAAAAATGATAGTAACCAATCTTAAAAATTATTCTGACTGTAAGTGGTTTACAACATCCTCTACAATTTTAATTTCACAAGAAAGACATTAAAGTTTTGCGAATTTCACGCGTCAGTGAAACCCATGACATTAGTGGCAGTGAATATTCATTAGGTCGTAAAGAAAGTAATAGTGACTTTCATGGAATTTCTTTCCTCACAAAAGCCATTAAATTATCAAATAGTGAAAATGTACAGCTGTGAAAATTAACAAGTTTACCGTTTCTGTGCTCTTCCCAGAAAATATTCTAGTGTTGCAAATAATTTACAATACAATATTCCATTCATTGTTATGATAATTATATTGTGGGTGGCTACTCAATAATATTCTTGGGAAAGTTCTGAAAGCTTGGTTTACAAATACTGCTACTTGTACATGTGTATTTTATGAGCAGTGGACTTAAAATCTATAATTTTTACATATTTGTTATATTATTTATTTATAACATGTGTGGTATTATTTATTTATACTATGTGAGGTATTATTTATTTATACCATGTGTGGTTTTATCTATTTATACCATGTGTGGTTTTATCTATTTATACCATGTGTGGTATTATTTATTTATACCACGTGTGGTATTATTTATTTATACTATGTGAGGTATTATTTATTTATACTATGTGAGGTATTATTTATTTATACCATGTGTGGTGTTATTTATTTATACCATGTGTGGTTTTATCTATTTATACCATGTGCGGTATTATTTATTTATACATGTACCATGTGTGGTATTATTTATTTATACTATGTGCTGTATTATTTATACCATGTGTGGTATTATTTATTTATACTATATACGGTATTTATACCATGTGTGGTATTATTTATTTATACTATGTGCAGTATTATTTATTTATACCATGTGTGGTATTATTTATTTATACTATGTGCAGTATTATTTATACCATGTGTGGTGTTATTTATTTATACTATGTGCGGTATTATTTATTTATACCATGTGTGGTATTATTTATTTATACCATGTGTGGTATTATTTATTTATACTACATGTATGTGCAGTATTATTTATTTATACCAAGTGTGGTATTTTTTTATTTATAATATGTGTGTACTTCTGCCATATGATATGTGTGGAATTATTTTATTTTTGCATCTTAATGCACATGTGCAATTCTGAAGCAGTACTCAGAAAATCCACGGACCTTTACTTAAAGGTTGAAATCTATGCATATTAATGATAAAATTTGCATAAATGCTCAGATTTATCTGATTAGATTCATCACACAAAACTGTCGGATTAATCTGATGGTAAAATACAAACACAAATGTACATGCAAATTTAATAGGATGAAATTAAACATGTCTGAAAAAAATCTGTTCAGACATCCGATTTTGTGGTTTACACATGCGATTTATCTGAACAGATTAACAGGCGGTGGTTGTCGTGCAGCGTGTGTTCGAATTTTTTATAAATAGACATGATTTTACACGCGTTGTGTACATCGCTACATGTCCCAAGTCGAAGGGGTACACAAGACTATAAGTCACAGATCGATGAATAAATTAGACAACTTTCTGCTGTCTCAAAACATCTTGTCACATGTGCTTAGTGGTAGTGAATACTTTGATAAATTGCAGTCTGCAAAGCACAGATGTACAATAATATTTTTTTTAGAGCTGCATGTACATAAGGCTTGATCTTTAAGTTCAAGATTGATAAAATTACTTTGGCATCATGGGAATACTATATCAAAGGGCACCAAGGTCAACTCATCCGTTTAGCCTTCAATGCCATCTGCTTATGTACAATAAACACAGAATGACAGGCTTCTTGTTTTAAGGCTAAATTCTTAGTTAATTTTAAAATTTTCCTATTTTTTACCTCATACCATCAAAACATAAAAGTTTGTTTCTGTGATTCCTGAGTATATTTAATCAATTTTGCTAAAATTTTAATTTTAAAAATGTGATGTATAGTTAGTTTTTGTTTCTAAGTATAACTATTGTATAATTTTCAGCTGTTTTTTTTTCAAAAAACATTCACTGATTAGGTTTTGCTGAATACCTACTGTATCTATTGAACATTAAATTTGCATACTAGTAATTACCTAATTATAGGCTTTTCCATTGATTACCTGGAAATCACTAAATAGTCTTTAACGCTTTGTGCGTGACAAAAAAAAAAACAACAACAAAAAAACACTGTCTGACACCGAGACTGTCTGACTTTAACCATGATTCTTTCTTGTCTCCTGATGTTTATATCTAAATTAGCTGTTATGTTGAATGTTTAACCGGTGAACACTCCTCAGAAGAAGGAGAAGGTGTGATTTTTTTCAGGTCACCAATTATTTTTCAACTGCAAATTTATATTATTATTGATTGTGCTATTGATACTAGATTCAACATGTATTTGGGAAAGGATGACGAACTACCGAACATTACGTAAAGCCTTCATCGGTATGGCTGTTTGATTTAGTGAATATTGACATAAAACCTCCATTTGAGAAGCACATATTGATGAAACAACCATTGTTGTATGTACACAACAGCATTTTATTGAAGCCCTACGGCTTGAGCAAGCAAAAATGGACGTGTAGACACGTTTGGCGCAAGTCAAGTTTGGCTCTAATAAACCCTTGGGTTGAGCTCTGATAGGATTGGGTCCCGACATCAAAGCCTAACGAACGGGCCAAGATTGTATAATGATCAAGTCCCACCAATGACTACTACGCGTTTGTTGTCACTCTGTTCGGACGACTGTAGATGAATGAATGGGAGCACCCATGATTTCAAAAATTAGAGATATTCAACGACGATGTTGGGCAATAGTCATTCGCTGCATCCTTTTTTGTCTTTTCTTGAGCATTTCCTGTTTCTCAAAGAGAGTATATTCTGTGAGTCTCAGCTCTCGTTCAGCTCCAACCATGTAAACGCATTGGAGATAATTCCCTGCTAATCGATAGGATAGCAGTAGAATTCTGTTGTGTAAACGTGATATATAGTTGACTGGCAGTACAATTACAAATTAAATTACAAGTAAAGAATATTACCTGGGTAACACTGCCAAGTTTCTTCATTCTGTGCCCCCCTCCAATGTATAATAACAAATATTGTTGGGGAACGGGAATGGCAACTAAATACACATGGGGAAGGAAACTAGAAAGTCTAGTATATGTATGTACATGTGATGATAAACAAAGTTTTGAATAAATCTAATTTGTTTACACTTAAAAAAGATACAAATAAATATTTGGGATAAACAGTATATCGTAATAAGTGGCCTTATAATTTCAGATTTATTATTTAAACTTTTGTAGTACGGTAATTTTCGTGTCTTTTTGCTAAAGGCTCAGAATAAACAGCAATTACTACTAACTTTTGTTGAGTCACTCATGAAATATTCCATGATTTGTTGCTATAATTATAATTCTGTGAACATGTTATCATGTTCCTATGGATTGCTGTGAATTCTGATTATTTTTACTATTTCTTCTTACTTAGGTCAGTGTCACATGGCCTTTGTGAATCGTGTAAATAGTGAAGGTGATGGAGATCCTTTCTACGAAGTACTCGGTATTGTTACATTGGAAGATGTTATAGAAGAAATCATCAAATCGGAAATTGTAGATGAAACTGATATCTACTGTAAGTATCAACTCTGGCTATTTTTTAACTCGTATCCATGGTAATGCCAGGTTTCTTAATCCCTAACGTCTAGTATCCATGGTAACACCGTCTGGATTTTAACCAAGTCCAAATAACAAAAAAGTTAAAAATTGGCTTTTCCATTTGTTTTTCACAATGTTGGCATTACATCAGAAATACTGAAATTACTATGGACAATATTTATTATTTATTTTTGGATTTGCATTATTGTAAAATAGGGGTGTGTGATGAGAATCTTTAATTTTAAATTATTCTACCAATAATTGTAAACCATGTCACAAGATATTTAAAACACTTATGATGTTCACCCCCACTGCACTCTCTACACTAATATTAATTAATTATACAAACCTTATTGCAATTTTGTTAATTAATTCCAAGTGTCTATTAATAGAGCTTGTCTGCAAATTCACCAGCCCTGTCAATTTTTTTTTATATTTAATACACCGTATTTGCTCTATTACAAGTGCATCTGTCTACATGGCACATACAACAACAGTTTTCTTTTTTGTGTGCTGGATCATTAAAATATGACTTATTTTGACTATAGGCATACATGTACCTCTCTCTGCCATCATTTACATAAGCAGATGTTCTATAGTAGATGCAGTATTTGTTGTTTAATAGAATCGCAAAAAAACCTAAAATGACATTTATTGCATGATAAACCTTTAAAATCATGTCTACTTGCATACTAATGATATAATTTGCATAAATGTGTAACCTCTTTGAAGGCTAGTTTACATGGTCAGATTTATCTGATTAGATTTATCGGACAAAATTACGTCAGATTTACCGTACTACAATTTGTACCACTAATAGATCAAATTTAGGATTTGAATGTGAATTTCATTGATCAGCGAAATCAGTAATGTTTTGTTCTTCAGTTTTGTAACGTAGTTGTCAAATAATGACATATTTATTTATTCTTTCAAAGTGGACAATAAGAGTAAAAAGCGTATCGCCAAGAGTGCAGTCCATGACTTCTCCATATTCCAACCACCGGTGGAGCAAAACAAGCCGAAAATATCACCACAACTGACCCTTGCTGTGTTTCAGTTCTTGTCTTCAGGTAGGATATTTTTTTCTGTAGGATTTAACATTCTCGGTATAACTTTTCACCATCTTCCTCGGTAACTACATTTAACTCAAACATGTTTACTCACTTTGCAGCTGCCCTTGGTGTATGGTTCATGTTGCACTCCTGTCTGTCTTTATGCAGGGCTGAAAATTTACTGAGACCACTGAGGCAATTGCCAAGATGTCCCATCTGAATGCCTTTCAGTATTTTTGTCCAAGGCATTTTTAAATATTTTGAATTTGGGGGCCTGCCAAATAGCCAAGTTTAATGCCTGTGTAAGTGTATTAACCTGTCTATGTTCATATTTGGTGCCGTTTAAAATTCAGTGCTTCTGTCAACAATTTGTAAAAGAAAACATACATAATAATTTCAGCATTTATTTTGTGTAATTTTGATAGCAATTTTTGTCTGGGTATTACCATCTAGTAAAAATTAGTAAAAACTCACTGAGATGTAGCTGGAACAACACAGGTGATATATTGGGGGGGGGGGGTTCTGATAGTCACCCACTTCCTACTTGCCCACCATCTTCGCTATGTAATTGCGAGAGAGACCATCTCGTCATTTGCAACCAACAGATTTTTTTTAACACCATATTTCATAAAATACCCATCAGTACATTCATTTTCAATCAATTACTTTACTTTCCATCAAAACTCAAGATTCACTGCAGAAATGGAATGAAACCAAATACTGTAGGAGGATTCATTTTCACTGGTATTAAATTTCACTATTTGGTTATTTGATCATATTTACTGGGTTTTCAATTCACAGATTTCCCGGTGAAGTCCTGTTGTAACCATGTCATATAGATTTATTTTTATTTACTGAATCTCACTTTATTGATGAAAATAGCAGCATTAAAACCTAGTGAATTATTAATGAGGTTACAGTACTTTTATCGGATCCAGGCTAAATCCCCACTTGTTAGGGATTGACCATTAATAATCTAGGGGTGGCTGGGTGAAGGTTGAATTACTATTATAAAAAAATATGTGCACATGCAAAAATAATCACAGGTAGCATCAAGGTATAGATGCAGGTTCGTGGGCACTCACTTGCTTTTTGACTCCCATGTGCGAAGCACAAAATGGGAGTCTTTGCAGTTAGTGTGTCTGTATGTGTGTATGTGTGTATGTATGTGTGTATGTGTGTGTGTATGTGTGTCCGACTGTTCCACTGCTATCTCAAGAACCATACATCGGTTTTTGATGAAACTTGGTGCATAGATGCTCTGGGCCAATGCGCAGATTTGATTAGGTTTTGGTAAAAATCCATGCTCGTTAATTACCTAATTTGCATGATAATTAGCTAATTTTTAGCTGTTCTATGACTGTTCCACTGATATCTAAAGAACCACTCATTGGATTTTGATGAAACTTGGTACATAGATGCTCTGAACATATGCGCAGATTTGATTAATTTTTGGTAAAAATCTGTGCATATTAATTACCTAATTTGCATGATAATTAGCTATTTTTTAGTGGTTC